AATAATCCTCTTCTTAGAGGGATGAGCAGTATCGAAGATGAATCCCGAATGTTTCACCATTTTGGTGCGGTTACTGCGAGATTTCGTCACGCTCAGAAATCGTGTAAAACCGTAATCTGCGTGGCAAAATCTCCCGATTATCTGAGGAACGTGACTAACGAGCAAAATTATCATATAGATTGGCTACATTACAAAGAAAGTTCAACTTTGTTTTTACTTATTGATGATTAAAGTTGAAGCCATATCATCACACCTCCCAACCAGTACATTGGAACACATTATCTCCACACCAAATGTGCGTCTGTGGTCAACACTGGTGATGTAGGATTGGCCTAAAGCAGTTGATGGGAAGAATTCGCCTGTGGTTCACATTAATGTCACATTTTTTCTCTTTGGGATACGATATCATTTTAGTACAAATAAGCATTCGCTGCAGTTAACGTTAGTGCATGTACGGGAATGTTAGCAGTGAATGACATCATCTTTACGACTGAAAAGTCGAAAAGTAAGACTTCAATACAGAAGACACGATGTTATAAATGTCAGCGAAGAGGAAACTGTTTTATATGCAATATTTCAGACCGGCTGTCAATGATCATGATGATAACCATACTGTGTCATCACTCTCATATTTATTTCAGGTACTTGTATTGTTTAGGTGTGTCTTGTTTGTATGTTTATATTTGTCTTGTGTGTGGGCCACAACACCAGCCCCCGCTGCCTGTGGCCCACGAGTATTGTATTTGTTTGCAATCTCAATAAATCAAATTAATCAAATCAAATCAGTCAAGTGTCAGCTGAAGGAAGAAACGTTGAGTAAAGTTTCAGTTGTATGTATAATACAATACTTTCATGCATTTTATATTTTTGGCACTATAGCATTGCGTTAGCATATAAACACTAGCATACAATTCAGCGCTACTTTTTAAGTTGCGCTGCCACATGCTAAAGATTGTACTCATCGATCAATCAATCAATAAACAAATTATTATTATAAATAAATATGAGATTTGTTTGGTTAAATCTAGTTTTTTTAGTTTATTTATTATTAGCTATCATTTTGTTGGCTTTGTGATTAATATTTGGTGTTTGTTTTGTTATATTTAAGTTTTCTTTGGTTTTTGGTAAGTTTCTAGGAGGAGGACATTGTGCAAGCCTTACTAGGAGGAGG